GACCACCCCTCCTCTTCTTCCATCCGCATCCCTGGTGAGCAAACAACGCATATCGTAAAAGTTGGTGGGCTGGCATACGTAATACGTGGCCCAACTATCGGAGCCCGGTGCGTGAAATGACGGTGCTGAGCGGTTCAGTTCGTTTTTCTGTGCCGTAAACAAGGCGTCGAACACGCTCGTTACTCACGCGGTGTTCCCACCAGACGTGAGCCAAACTGCGAAGGCACCGATGGTCGAACCTAACTAGTCTCCTCGTGTCCGCCGATCTTAGGGGCCAGGTTTCGCAACCGTACAGTAGGGTCGAACGTACCGCTGCATTGTACACTCTACCCATCAGGGCGAGGGTAATGTCGCGCAGCCGCCATAAGTGGCGAAGGTTAGCAAAAGCGCTTCGAGATTTCGCTATACGGTTCGTGATCTCGTCCTCGATCCCAAGGACGCTGATACAACTTCCCAGGTAGTTGAATTTCCGAACGACTTCTAGCTGATCCCCACCAAGGACCAGCACAGGAGGCGATCCCTGACAATCTTGGAGGAAAGCTTTGCATTTCCATGGTGCAAAGCAAAGTACGAAGCGGCTGACAGCCAGTGCTAACCTGTCCAGCGTGGCTTCACGTCTTGGAGCTGTCACAGATGAGGGCAATGTCGTCTGCATACTCCAAGTCAAGAAGTCATTCTCCGGGGAGTAGCTCCACACCTTCCAAGTCATGTTCTGTAAATGCAATCTCCATGACTTCGTCAATAGCGAAGTTGAAGAGGAAAGGTGACAACGGGCATCCTTGTCTCACACCGCTGGAGATATTGAAGGGTGGCGACAGCTTGCCATAAGCCCTCACTCTGACCGTGCTACGCGCGTGTAATGCTGGGATAATATTTACATATTTCTCGGGCACATCTTTCCTGAGTAGACAATTCCAAACGGCACATCGATCAACCGAATCAAAGGCACCTTTGATGTCGAGGAACACGACTACGGTGGGCCGCCAATATGTGTGACGGTGCTCCAACAACTGACGCAAGGTGAAGATGTGATCGATGCAGCCACGACCCCGACGAAACCCGGCTTGCTCCTCACGAATGTGGCTTTCACAAGCGCCAGTCAGTCTGTGAAGGATTATAGAGGCAAGCAATTTGGAGGCGATGGAGATCAGACTGATTCCTCTATAGTTGCCGCATTCCGAACGCGAGCCTACTTTGAAGATGGGAACGATAACGGAGCGGCTCCAGTCGGTTGGGGCAGTCTCCTGCTCCCACAGTTTCACTAGTGATTCATGTAAAGCATCAACAAGAGCAGAGCCTCCGAATTTGAAGAAGGCTGAAGGAAGATCATCTGGTCCCGCGGCTTTGTTCAACTTCAACCGTCCGATCTCACGTTCGACTTCTGAGCGAGAGCGTGGGTCCAAAGGGACAGCCCACCGAGCAGGGCCATCACTGATCGGCGAAGAATCGAACAATTCTAGCCGATTAAATTGCTTTTCAAAATTCTCAGCCCAACGCTCCGAACGTTTTGACAAATTGTGGATAGGCTGTTCACTCTCATCACAAATTGTTTCACTAACACCAGGTCTCCTGCTGCCCGTTTCCCGTATCAGAAGGAATAACCTACGATGGTTGCCACAGGCAGCGGCCACTTCCATCTCTGACGCAGGACGAGACCACCAAGATTCGCGGTCTCTCTTCAGGCTAGCACGGAGTTTTGCCCGGAGCTCTTTGCGAGTTTCATTATGCTCGCATCCAGCCGGGATATGCCGGCGAGCGTCGATAAGTTCCAGAGACTGTGAAGAGACCCAATGTCCATGTTGGCTATTAGACATTCCACATGAGGATTTGCCTGCTGCTAGTAAGGTCTGGCGAACATGTGACCAGTGACCATCAATTGTCTCCAGTGAGCGCTTACTCAACTCGCATGTCAGCGTACTTCGATACGCATTCAGAACAGCTGGCTTTGTCAGTTGGCTGGTGTCAATGCGTTCACAGCGTCGTCGTGAGCGTCCGCCAAAACGCATCCGCATGTCAGCACATACAAGTGCATGATCGGTGTCCACACATGTGCTCCAAATCGAGCGACAGTTCTGGATGCAGCCACTCCAGCGGTAAATAATAGCAATGTGATCGATCTGCGTCCAAGGCTGGTGGGCGCCAAGTCACCCTCCGGCGGGTGCTGTGTCGGAAATTAGTGCTCACAAGAAATAAGCGAGCATCTTCACACAAATGAAGTAACCGCTAACCGTTATCATTACGGGAGCCTACACCGTGCTGACCGCCCAGATGCATTACATCAGTGGACAACTTTCCAACTTGTGCGTTCATATCCCCCGCCAGCACAACAGTGTCCGAGCTTCTTCTGTGGCGAAGGAGCTGAGTCAGTTGGCGATAGTAGTCGTTCTTTACCGAATCATCGCTATAGTTTGTGGGTGCGTAGGCAGCGATGATGAATAGACACCTAATAGTCCCGCGCGACTTCGAAGTTTTGAACGAGCCAGCCAATCGGACCGCACACACCCGGCTACTGATTGGAATCCAATCAACCAGAGCAGCTTCAGCCCGGGGACTCAGGGCAATGCCAACACCAGCTTGGCCGGTGCTCGAAGCTGCATAGTCACCGGATAGGCGCAATGAAGTCTTGCTGGTGTCACCGGAAGGGGATCGCAGAATGAGCACAGCGCTCGAGTCTTGCAGGCGGGTCTCCGATAAGTAGCAGATATCGATCGAGAGGGTCTCCAATGTTCGAGCAAGTGCTGCCTGTTGATCGATTTGTAGCGGTGTGCGTACATTGAGGCATGCCAATCTGAAGGAGGATCGAGGGCTCCAAATGGAAGCCGATGAACTGGAATGGACCGCTTGGTTGGACATGGGCTTGTCGACAGGAGAGGAGTGACGCTCCGTGTTCACATGTGAGTTGAAATTAGAAGATAAATGCCTAGCAAATCATGTTGGGGGAGGGCCAAGAATCTGGGGGTTGAAAACTGGGGGAATATAAGTGAAGTTGGAAGGGGATGGTAAGAGTGAAAAAGCGTAAGAGGGGGAATAAGAAGACGAGAAGGCTTGAGCAGTAGCATCCAAACCCCTATCCACCCTGCTCGATGCAGCAGATAGGGCACCGTTGATTATACTCTGCGGTGGCCAGAGCATCAGAAATTTGTTTGAGGTAAGATTCATGGTATTACGTGGGCAGGATACTGTCAGGTTGCCCAGGCCTAGAAAGGAGAACGATTAGGGTTCTCAACCAAAGCCTTTGGTTCAAAAACCTGACCGCAAGGCAGCGGATTTGGCGTTGGGCTCCAAGGAGTCCGTTTTAAGGAATAAATATAATGAAATGTGTCAGCTTATACGCCTTAACGGCGCTTCGCTGCCGCGCAACCACCACCAGTCGCGCGCGGGCTGAGTATACCGCGAGGATGCCCACCCCTACGCGGAATAAGGTGCCACCGTCATTCCAACCCCCAACCTGGAGGACCAGGAGGCTGTTTGTCTGGCCTCTAACTATTGACCAATCTGGTATGAGTGACTCTGAAGGTGCAAAAGCACCACCCAGCATAGCTCAATGGATCGCTGAGGCACACAAACCATCGCACCACGGTAAGGTCCAGCCTCATTGCGATGGAGACAGTTTCACGGATGATGGTATTACTTCCCTTGAAAGTATTACTTCCCTCGAACATCTGTTATATTTGCAATTGTTTTATTCCAGAATTTTCACAACCTTTCCGATACAGTTAACTTGTCACACTCCAAAAATCTGACCAACTCCATGCTTTATGCGATCCCGCTGCTAATGCCTTCACTGGTGTGTTTTATGTATACTTGAGAATGTAGTATGTGCGTATTTATTTAGTTATGCATATTGAACCGACTGTGCAGTTGGACTGTGCCTCGCACTATCGAGCAATATACCGTTTATTTATTTGTTTATTTAGTGTGGCCGACCTCGAGGTCCGGCAATTCAGGAATGCGACAAACCAACCAAATCTGTCCATTCGGCGTATTGAGGTGTGATCTAACTGGAAGAGGATTTAAGTGTTCAGATGACAACACACAATGATGGAACTAAGGATGAATAACTTAGAGGAAGGATATTTACAGCAACGAGACTGTTGCCTGAGAAACTCGGAATTTGTTGACCCATCTACATGCCTACTTGTGCTGAGTACTCGAACTCAATCGGCCCTCCATGAGTAGGGATATGTGCAAGTAAAGTGGGGAAGTGCTAACTAATTAATTTCGAAGTTGCAAGAAGGCATCGCGTAGGTAATCTGTCACGATTGGTGTCACGATCAAGCGGTGTACTGCTTCAAATGGAAGAGGTTGATTCAACAGACATCAATCGTTGAACTAAACGTGGTGTATCAAATTATCGGAGCGAAAACGCCGTTCGCCTGAGTTACCCCATAGACAGCTGATGAACACTGAGATTCATAATCTAGAAGTTCAAGCAGGAGTTGATGAGTCTGCGGAGGAACGATCACAATGCATCAAGGCGAGATTGACTTGTACCGCCGAATAGCAGTGTTCGTTGGGACTTTACTGTTGAGAGACCGTGAAATGAAACACGTCGTCATAGAGGGGAATTTGAGAAGGGAGACGACAATAGCTGGGCAATCAGTAGAACGTGGACAATGCGACGTTACACATGCTGAGGTAGAGAAAGACAAAACGCGGTAAAGTTGGACTGGCTAAAAGTAGGTGCGACGAATGGAGAAATTACATTTTCGAAGCGTTGGCCACATATCCGCGTGTTAAACGGCTAGTTATACAAAAGACGTAGATCATAATCACAATGAATTAATTTACAATGACAAACAGCGGTTATCTGACTCAATCCCCCATCGAGGACATCGAACCGCATTATTGGAGAATTTGGGAGCCGCGACGACGGATAAGATCCGATTGAGCGTCATGCAAAATTGAAAACAAGGGGCATAGGGGCATATCGTCAGCTACAAAGCATTACAAAAATGACAGTTGAATCAAAAAAATGCGCTGAATAATCCGAGACTCACCACAATGGTAATTTCGCGCTTGCAGACATTCAAGTCGTGCTCGTAATTCACACAGGTCCGTTTAAGCGCGTAAAATTGACCTTGGCGAGATCGTACGCGGAACACAGTTCCAAAGCCCCCTATCAGTGAAACAAAAATAGAACCGTGTTAAAAACGAAAATGCGCAGTCAGTGAGAAGGAAGTTCGTTGTTTCGTCAAAGCGGAAAGACACAGATTGTGTTATGGCAACATTTCGATCGTTCTTATCAGCCGCGAACACAATACAATCAGAATACATACACTGCAATAAATAGCAAAAAATTAGCAACACTAATAAAAATGTCATGATCAAGACCAAAGTAACCGAATAGATTGTGTTAAGATTTTCGGTGCACATAACAAAGTTTGATGGGCCCTAACTACCAACACCTCATTGATTACCAAGATGACCGGATAATGGTTGTGCAATAACAAGTTGAACGCGGTCCCCGGGTTCGCACGATGACAAGTTACCACACAAAATATTTAGGGAAAAATGGTGGCGAGCTCCGGCTCATCCTCAGATCCGCACCGTTTTGTTGCGTCGTCATTTGTACCAACCAGTTTGACTAATGTTTAGCTATCCTCCGAGAAAACTGACTGCCTATGTGTCACAGCAAATTCAGGTGAACTGATAAACAACCTGAAAGACCGAGCTGCCTGATGAGATGCTCTGAAGGTTATAAGGAACAAGTCTGCGTGGTGTATAGATCAGTCGCAGCAGGGCGATCGAGAAGGTACGCGTCAGGCCGGACCGGAGCCTGTGTCCGATATAATTTGTCACATGGTCCTCCTAAGAATGCCAGGAATAAATAAATATGCCTTTTTTCAGCCGTTAGCATCGGTATTTGCTTCGCAGGCTTGCTGTGGATCTGAATGAGCTTCTCGGGAAACGTATTGTCAAGAATACATCGTAGTAGTAAGCACGTCGACACGTAGCCAAGCTGTAGAAAACTGCGTACGTACGGAGACAGTATACCCAATATCCGACGAGATACAATCTAGCAGATTCGAAGAGGGGTGTGTGTATGCATGCTTGCGGACGTGTCTGCAAAGGACCAATCAGAGTAAGACAAGCGTAGTCAATAATCGTAAGGTAAACAGGTTAATCAGGCACATCAAGGTAACAAATGACCCGATCCAGTACACGATTGGCATTGACCCGACAAGCCGTCGTAGCGGATGCACGCTGACTACTTCGGACCGATTAACGGGACAATGCTTCTTTATTCCGGCCGTGTATACAAGACCACAGTGAGGGCTATGGGAGTGAGACTTAGTCGCTTCGGTCTGAAGATCGGAGGGGTCTTCAAGTCTTTGATCATCGTTGTCTGCGAAGCATTGCTGGTGTTGGGTGGTACCAGCGTGTCCGCAACGATGAGGTGCGTAGGAGAGTAATAGGTAGTGATAACCATGCTAGCTCCCTAGGACAACAGATAGCACTGAATAAGTTGCGTTGGCTCGGGCACGTGCTACGTATGCCTGGTCAACACTTACCTAGGAGGGTCTTGTTTAGTCCACCAGGCGTAGAGTGGCGCAAGGGTCGAGGTGCACAGAAGTTGACTTGGCAGCGGGAAATGAAGACACTGACGACCAAAGTGGGTGGCGTTGGTCCGTCTCGCCTTCCCGGCTGGAGTCCACGTGACTCGCCTTGTGCTTGGCTCGAGACTTTACAGGACATGGCTCGCAACCGACACCAGTGGCGCGTCTGCTGCTGTCCCCTAATCGGATAGCCTATTTAAAGTGTGTTTGGTGCTGCGGGGTAATGGCTGATTATGACGCGGGGCAGTGAAAGCCGCAAGAAAGCTGTGTCGCCGATGCCGCACTATAGCCAGCTGTTTGTGATGGGCAAGTGTTGACGTGGTGCAGGCGCCTTGATCCTGAATGTTTGCTTAGGGCATTGAGCTTTTTAGGTAAGTCCCCCTTCACTCTCCCCCTTATTATTCTTTATTTCACAGGTCATCATGGTTGTATGGCAGCGAAGCAGCAGTCCAAATGGCTGATATGCTGCTGCAGTTGTTGTTGATTGTTCATCATACCGACGGAGGAACACAGATGTATGCTTTCTAGCTCCCCGCCCCTTCATTATTCAGTATACTTACCAAAAGGGCGCGAATCCGTATTTTCTTGAGAAGGATGTGGCTTAAGGAATATCATTTTAGTAGTGTCAGTACGAATATCGATCGCAGTGCAGATAAAATAGTATTGACTATCAGCTTTTTCTTTATTAGATTGGGGTTTGAATCGGGAACGTTAGTGCACACAAGACCTAAATAAATAAACAAATAAATGTGCCTGGTGTCTAACAGTTTAAGTACACCAGGTCACGTGTTAAATTCCGCACGTAATCGTCAGCCCTCGGTAGCTCAGTGGTAGAGCAGCGAACCGGAAATTCGTGGACCTGGGTTCGATTCCCCGTCGAGGCAGATTTTCGTGTGGAGTTTAATCGTGACTTCTACCCTCTACGAAACACCAGGTTCTGTTGTTCTGTGTGGACACTAGCGACAGCAATCCATTATGCAACACTTCAGTTTTGCTCAGTCCTGTAGGAGGTCGCAGATGTTTTCAAACCGGTGTTCTCTTAATTTTCAGCAGTGCGTATTTTAACTGCCCCTGTAGGGCGAGAACCTGCAACCGGACTGCTACCAGTCTGTGGTTAAGAATACCGAGTCACAAGGGACAGTAACAACTGACGGGACTAGGTTAGTAGATGTGATATAGCGCGGCTCACTATCTCCTGATTTGCAAGTTACTGCTGTGCAGAGGACAGGATAGCTGATGTGGCTTACGTCTGGTAAGCTGGTTGCATGGTGAGAGGCTGCCTTGTCTTCTACACGGCAGTAATGTACAAGTCAGTGGATAGTGGACGGCGTTATATCACATCTAGTTAACTTAGTCACATCGGTCGCCACTGTCCCCCGTAACTCAGTGCTAACAGTCGGGTTGCGGGTTCTAGACGCACAGGGGTCATGAGGCACGCGCACTGCTGATTTAGTGCCGAAAGGAATTACTATGTCACGATCTCACGGGGTTCATATGGACCAAAACAACAATTCTGATGCACTAGGCCGGCTGAATCGCTCTTCGATGTGCTCAGGATAGCGTGTTCAACGGGGTGATTGAGAGTTAGTCGGTCGTTTGTCTGTCGTATCTATTGCCACGTGTTCTTATGCAAAAGAAAAAATGGAATTCAATCTCCTAAACAATTCGAACGCCCCAGCAACAGAAACACTCATAGATGTTACCGCGCTTCGGTGCCATATTTCTCTCTGACACCAATGGTCATGCCCAGCAGTTTTGCAACATTCCAATGTGAAAAGTATGAACAATTTTTTGAGCCATGTTTCTGCCAATACTTACCTTTACCGTTTGATGTACATACGCTTACAGTGTTTCAGTGACTCTGTCAAGCACTTGATCATGCCCGCAATAGTTTGTCACGTTTCGTCGAGAATAAAACCATGTATCTATTTATATAAAACCGCATTGTAGCAGTTCACTGAAAAGAATGGAATGATACTCGAACACTCCTAATAACAGTGGATCTCTCCACCACGTGAGACCTCGACATCCATCAACACCCTCAGTCATTTTTGAGACTCGTAGACAGGCGACGTTTCCGACTGTTACGGGCGTCAAGTAGGCAAACCGAAGATTCAAATATCTAACTACTGTTCAGAGGTCTTAGGCTTGTCGGATATGCGCCTACGGGTGCTTCTGGAATTGCGCGTCGAAGACCATTCGAGCTCGGTCAAAAATGACTGCTAATGCTGCAACTTAAATTGATACTGAGCGTTTAGTCAAGATAGAAGAGATGAGCGTCGAACGAGCATGCATGATGGAGTTGACAAATGAAACATAAATGATTGCATGTCTGGAAAAAGAGGTGGAACCGATTGAGAATTTCTAAGTTTCGAAAATTCCGAATGCAAGTCGGTTTGTAAAAGGTTTGTCGTGACAAAGCTTCGAACCTAACGCAGCCTCTGGCTCAAAGAGACTCTCGGTGAAAAGCGATGCTGAGACGATAAAGTTTTCACAAAACCGATTTGCATTCAAAATCTTCAGATCTTATAAATGGTTCTTTTTGTCGTTTCAGTTGCGTTGCACAGTTGTTGTGCATCTGTGAATTTAATGATGATCGATACATTTTTCACACTCCGGTCCAACCACATTCCAGATTAGATTAGTCAAAAGAGTCAATGGAGCCACAAGAAACAGTTTCAAAAAAGTAAAATGATTATGAATTATATAGCTCAAGAGGAATGACTTAAAGGAAGATTCCAAGTTATCAAAAAATACCAGATGCAGGAAAAGATGCTTATTGGCTGGCTCCATGCCAGAAGTGTTGTCATTGGCCGACTCCGAAGTAAGAAGCATTGTCATTGGCTTGCTTCTGGTCAATTAACATCGATCTGATTCGGTCCGAGCTACCGCTGATGTTACTGTCATGTAACCAGGCTTGAATGGGTTTTATAAGTGAGCTACCTTAACAACATTCTATCAGATGGAGTACTGATAAAATAGACAAAGGATATATATAGTGGACCGGCCCAATCCATACACTGTGTCACTGAGGACCAAAAGGAATAGTGCACCCCTAGAATGTAGAGCAGTGTTGCGCCGGTAACGAATACGCAATAGGGAAGGTCAAGCGGGTGTCACGACTATGTGGCTGCGTCAAGTCAGCTAGTAGAAATTAACGGCCCTGCGTTTTTTGAGGTGGTGGATATGACCAGATAGCGCACCTATACAGCGCGATCAGTTATCGTGCAGAGCAGTGGTACGCTCACATGGGGGGCAAAAGTCGAAAAAGGTATTTGTTCATCATCATCATCATCGGAATCAACGATAGCAACACAGTAGTACGTTGTACAGATGGTCGGTAAAGTGAACTCTAGAAAGAGTAGTCGCAGATGGTAATTTAGTGCAGATGTCTGCAGCACCGCAAGATAATAAAACGCTCGTTATCCTGTGAATAAGTGGAAACATTGGATGGCGTCCTTCTAGCGTTCATCGCCTAGCGGCGTAATCAACCTCAACTCACAAATAGCTCGGCATCATATGCACCTTATACAACTAGTCCAGCTAGCTGGGATGCGACTGTAATCGCGTGGACTCCAAACTAGAGAGTGAAATGAGCCAGTTGAACTCAATTTAGTTGGAATCGAGTTGGTCTCTTGCCACCGAATCAACAATTGCCTCTCTCGAACCCGTAGAAATCAGAAACCAGGAAGCCGAAACCAAGATGTCCTCGATATTCAGTGAGTGGGTATGTACAACAAGAGTCCAAATCGATTCAATATATTCAGCTTACGAACCAACTTGGTCGCACGCACCCGTGCGCCCCTTGCGAGGTTGATCAATTCACTTATCTTGGCAGCTGCATCAGCAACGATGGGCACATAGAAACTGACGTCAGCTCACGCATTGCAAAAGCCAGAGCTAACTTCTTGAACCTGCGGCATCTTTGGCGACAGAAGGGAGCTTCCCTCCGTCTGAAAGGCCGTGTATACAAGGCAAAAGTGAGGGCCCTTCTGCTCTATGGGACTGAGACTTGGCCCCTTCAGTCTGAAGATCTGAGGCGCCTTCAAGTCTTTGATCATCGTTGTCTGCGAAGCATTGCTGGAGTCGGATGGCACCAGCGTGTCCGCAACGATGATGTGTGTAGGCGAGTACTACGTGGTGATAATCATGCTAGCTCCCCAGAACAACAGATAGCACTGAATAAGTTGCGTTGGCCCAGGCACGTGCTACGTATGCCTGGTCAACGCTTACCTAGGTAGGCCTTGTTTAGTCTGCCAGGTGTAGGGTGGCGCAAGGCACGAGGTGGACAGAAGTTGACTTGGCAGCTTGAAAGGAAGTCACTGACTACCAAACTGAGTACTGTTGGTCCGTCTCGCTTTCCCGGCTGGAGTCCACGTGACTCGCCTTGTGCTTGGCTCGAGACTTTACAGAACATGGCTTGCAACCAGTGGCGCGTCTGCTGCCGTCTCCTAATCGGATTGCATGTTTAAAGTGTGTTTGGTGCTGAGTTATCTGCGGGGTAATGGCTGATTATGATGCGGGACAGTGAAAACCGCAAGAATGCTGTCTCGCCGATGCCGCCTTCTCTTTGTACGATAGCCAGCTGTTTGTCACGGTATGTTGTCTACACAACGTGTAGGCGCCTTGACCCTGAATGTTTGCTTAGGGCATTAAGGTTTTCAGGTAAGTCCCCCTTCTCTGCCTCTTCTTATTCTTTATTTCCTAGGTCCTCATGGTTGTATGGCAGCGAAGCATCAGTCCAAATGGTTGAGGTACTGCTGTTGTTGATGATTGATGATGCTCCTTGCGATATGGACACCTTGGTGCCACTGGAGATCAACTACGTACTGCAGGCAAAAGTAGTCATAGGCATTAAAAGAAATGACATTTTTTAATCTGAAAGTAACCAAACCTGAGCACCGCGCAGAACGGTCCCAAGTGCCGTTCCGTGAATGTGATATTCGAGAACAAACGAAATTCCATTCTGGTGCCGGAAACGTCACAGATTCGTCAAGATAAACCTGTTAGCGTAATGAATCAATCGAGTAAGATTTGATCGAACGATGTTTCAGCCAAATGCAGGAATTTATCACATTTGAACGGAACTCTATCTGAGATTCAGTGTAGACTTACGTCCGTTCAATAGTTAAGTTCAGCTCAAGATGCGAATGTTTGAATTTCCTTTATTTATATTATACCCGTTTATTCCTTTGCTTCTTATAAAACCCTACAGCCTATTGAAACAGAGATGTACTACGGTTCCGGGTTTGTCTAGTGTTCTCACTGTGAGTGGAAGCAGTCGGGGCAATACTAAAGAACTGGCGACGGAGGTGTTGAAGAATTATGTCCATCTCATTCAAAAAGAGGCGATCTATTCTTCAGCAGCAGCAGTAAAAGTAGTTTGAAAAATCGCAACAGTACTTTAGTGAGTTATTGACGCAAAAGCTGAAGATCGAGGTCGAATCGGAGTAGGAACCGTAGCTGACATTGCAGGAGATCGAAGCCGAATGCCATAGGCTGTTTAACTTGAAACACGACTCCAAAATGGCTGACAAATTGGATTCTAGGGAAGAAGCCAAGCCTACCACAAAAATAATCGAAGTGTGCCGAACCGGAAGTTCCCAAGTAAGTATTGGAATCGTGATCAATGTCATTTCACGAGAGACTGTGTGTGCTAAAATCATCAGTAGAAAAATTGTATGCAGCTCGGTCCTAGAAAAAGCCGCTGTCGAGTAGTAGCCAACAACCTCAGACACAGACTTAATTTAAAGTTGCAAGAAGGCTCTGAGTTCGAAAGGAGCGGTTTTCAGGGTGCAGAGACAAAAGCGACTATTGCACCAGTGTACATAATTTTCAAACAAGAGAAGAAGCTTGGCAGTATAACTTAATGATGTTCCTATATCGTTGCAGCCTGTGAACACGTTGTATAGCACAACGAGCATTTATTAATCGACAAGGATAACACTTTGCAAGCAGTCAGTTAAACCTACAAAAGAAACGGTCCAAAACGCATCAGCAGTCTTTGCAGCCAGACACTGAGATAACCTGTGAACACAAACGCAAGGATCTGTAGCTTATTCGGACCATCTACCTAGCACTCTGTAGGCAATTAATATATCCAGAATGTTTACCCATGTTTATTCTGAAAGGGATGTTGGGCTCCGCAATATCGGTCACACTTGTCCCAAATACTCGCGTTCTCCCCAGCGCAGTGAGTGGAAGTAGGCAGGGACCAAACAACAAGATCTGGGTCTGGAAACACGAGCGTCGATTTCAACAGCCATATGCATGTTGCTGCCAACATGTGTGAGTCATTCAGCAACGAAAAATTGGTAAGCAAGAAACTTGAAGTTCTGAGACAGCACTTTTACTCTTCAAGACATAAGCATACATCAAATTATGGGATCACTGTACAGGGCTTGTCAGGGGTTGAATGTTTCGCTTTATAAGTCTCAAATGCTGCCTTAATTACTATCGAGATCAGGTAGTTAGCTGTCCGGAAGGGAGCTCAATACCTGCGTGCTAAAATCCCACAGCTAAGGATTTCATGATAGATCCGACGATAAAACAGAACGGAAATGAAAAAACAGAACCGACCTGGTCAGTATCACATTTTGCTGGAAATGAATCCAACAAGTCGTCGTAAATCCTGACGAAAATGATGGATCATTATCAAAAGGTTGGAAAGATTAGCGCCGTCACGTCGTGATCCAATACGGCTCACACAGGTTAAGATCATACATTGAACGAAACCGGCTCTTCGCAAGCCTCCCAAACGGCCATCCTCGGTAATAACCGCTTGTAATCATAACACAAGATTGTGAATGGCCTTGGATGGTCGAATATTGGCACAGTAGAGGCATAAATAAGCCAAGACAGTGAAATAATGCATGATCGAAAGCCCGATTTCGCATGGCACAATCAAGAAGACAACAGCGCATTCCCGTTCCGTCGTTTGTCCTTGAACGCCAACCCTTCTATTACCTCGACACATTGTCCTCAGGGTATCCTTAAGGTGGTGCGATTAAAGAGGAGCGAATCTACTGCGCATCGATTACAGAATAATTTCAGCATTACTGAACAGAGCTGTATAAGAATTTTCTAACGGACCTCAAGATCAGACAGACCAAAGGAAAAGTGGAATTTGAGCCAGGTCCGGGAGAGTAGACAGTCTACCCAATGAATCCCAAAACAGCAACTACGGAGTGTGGTTGTAGGACAAAGCATGAGGTGACGAATTCTTTACCCGATGGTCACTCTGTAATACGTGAAGCTTCATACGGTGTCACACGTGTGGAACTCACCATCTACGTACCAAAGTCTCAGTTGTAACTTAAAGCTGAACAGAACCGAACTGAAGGGAAATCAGTGCCGTAACTCACCCTCAGCGATCACATCGTCTACCGCCAGTGAAAAATGGCCAATTTTAAAATGGCGACCGATAAACGAGGCGCCGTGTGTAGCAGAATTGCCGGTGTTACTGTGCGAGTTGCTTGCGTCTTCTAGCTCTCCTTGGGCTAATTTGGCCAAAATTTTCTTCATTTATAGACAAAGATAATCCAAATGATTGGGCAGAAACCCCACAAAGCACGGTGCATCTGAAAAAGGAATGTATAAGACAGGATGTCATTCGACGGCTCTCAAACCGATGTCAACTTGTTAAACAAAATGAAATAAAGTTAGAATACCTGGGAAACAGAGTTTCAAGTGAAGGAATATGCTTGGCGGCCTCCGGTTCCGGATTTGCCTGTCACTGAGGTCAGCCACAGGATGCCTGCGCCTACAGAGGAACTATGGGTGACTTGCGCTGCACCACTCACAGCTCCAATCACACACCCCATATCTAGTGTAAACCCGAAGAAATAAGATCGGGAGCCATGTGGATTGGAGCCACGTTTCATCAACGGAGCCGGCCCACACTCCTTCACAGGCAAACACAAGCACGCTGTATTTGGGAATCCATCGCACACAAGGCAGTGGCTGGACCGTGGTCCGCTCCACACTGAGTGCATGGAACCACTTTTCGAGCCACAAGGACCGTGCACCCCGTCCCCCTCCCTGCAACGACCAACTGTCTTCTGGAGCCAGTATGGACGAGGTAGTGGGTAATAGACAGGTAGGCACCATGTCAACATTCACATAGAGAGCAGCTACAACGGGGATGTCAAGCAATAGCCAATCACTTGAAATGACATTATCAAATAATGTATAGCTGTTAAAGCATACGACAATGCAGACATAACTCTTCGCTTAATTAGTATATGAAGTACGTTGGTTAGCAACGAATCTGCGATAAGCACATAATGTTCACAAGTTACTCAAAAAGTGCCACAAACGCGTTAAAGTTAACGAAGATAAGCACAATTAGCGCAAGCGTGTGCAAGTTAATAGAACGCTGTTCAGGTAAGCAGAACAAAGCAAATAAAGTGGAATGAAATTTATTTAGCTTAAAAAATCTAGCTAAGTGTAAGTGCCTTCAGTGCCTTCATTTCCTGCTGCCAAGTCAATCTTTGTCCACCTCAAGCGTTGCGCCACCCTACATCCGGCAGACAAAACAAGGCCCTCGTCGAGAAGCGGTGACCAGGCATACGTAATACGTGCCCAAACCAACGTAACTTATCCTGTGTTACCTGTTGTATGAAGGAACTAGCTTGAGTATCATTGCTTAGCGCTCGCCTAAGCACATTGTCGTTCCGGACACATCGGTGCCACTCGACACCAGCAATATATCGCAAACAACGATAATCAGATATTTGAAGGCGCCACAGATCCTCAGACGTGGGACCAAGTCTCACTCTCATAGAGTATGATGGCCCTCAATGCGGCCTTGTAAACACGGCCTTGGAGACCAGTGGTCCCCAACCATCGGGCCGCGGACCAAATGTTATCGGGCCGCCAGAGAAACATTACATTATTTCCATCTTATTTACTATGGTGTAGTTCTCTCGGGATTGTGTAGTTTCCATGGACGAAAGTTAACAGAGAGCTAAGCGGCTGCGAGTGGAAGTGGTGTTGTAACTTTGGCGGACAGAAGCTGTGCACTGCACTTCTCTCTATTCACCTGTACTTTCTCATGTTAAACAGTGCTTGGTGTACGTGTATATTGTGTTATATTTTTGTCCGCATTTACTATCTGAGTTTAACGTGTTATTTTCGAGGTTACATCTCGGTCACTTGAACGCTCAAATTTAGCCCTGAAATTGGCAAAAATGAGTACGAAACAGAAGTTGTGGGAAAGTTTCCTTGGGAAAAAGCAAAGGCCCAATGAAGAAACAATAGAGCCTTCAACATGAAAGAAACTTAACTTTTACCGGACAATATCATGAGTCCTACTTGAAACACGGATGTATCGAGGCAGATGATTCTCCCACACCAACGCCGCTCTGCATCATTTGCGGTGACGGGCTTTCTAGTAAGGCAGTGACCTATAAAACAGCTTCGCCACTTGAATGCCAAGCACCCTGGATTAAAATACAAGCCCCTGGAGTATTCTGAAAAAGGGGGCCAGAAGAAGAAGAAATTTCTGATAGTCCCCAGCAATAAACCAGAATATACTGACAGCATCATATTTGGTGGCTACCTATATTGCCGAGTGGTCTGCGCCCCTGGTGTGCAGTCATAAGGTCACCGGTTCGAATTCGCATAGAAGTGGGCGTCTTCACAGTATAATTAGCCCGCGCACGACTGGTGGTGGTCGCATGGTAGCGAAGTGCCGTTACGACGTACAGCTGACGATTATTTGTCATTATATTGCTAAAGCTAAAAGGCCATTCATAATCGGTGAAGGATTAAACATGCCCTTCACTAAGGAAGTTTGCCGTGAACTAATAGGAAAGACTACCGTTAAAAAGATAACACGCGCCTTTGTCGGCTAACACTGTGTCTAGGCGAATTGAGGAAATAGCCGAAGACATTGAGACACAATGGTTGGAGAAGATTAATACATCACCGTGGCAAACTCCAGGTTGACAAATCTACTGATATGGACAACAAGGCAGTATCAGTTGTTTAGGTGCGATATCTTTAACAGGAGGATGTGCATGAGGATTTCTGATGTGGAATATCTTTGCCAACCATCACCACAGGAGTACTGTTCAAGACACTGGATGGTTATATAGCAGGATGACTAAAACGGTCCTTTTGTGTCGAGATATGCACAGACGGAGCTGCTGCCATAACCGAACGCCTGTCTGGTTTCACTGCTTGGATCAAGGTTGAAAATGAGATAGAATCTACTACTTGTATCATTCACAAATAAATGCTGGTAAACCGAAAAATGTCACCGGAATGTAACAGTATTGACTGATGTCGTTAAAGTTATTAACCACATCAAGGCACAGGTTCTTAACTCGCGCCTGTTTGAGCAGCTTTGTGAGGAGATGGGCGCAGAGCATAGATGCCTTCCCTTGCATACAAAAATAAGATGGTTATCCAGAGGAAAAGCGCTAGTCAGGGTATTTGAATTACGAGATCCATTGCAAAGATTTCTCACAGAAAAGAAGTTGTGCTGGCAGCACATTTTAGTGACAAGGTATGAGTCGCAAAACTGTCTTACTTGAGTAACATATTCAGCCTACTCAGTGAACTCAATCTATCCCCTCACGGGAAAATTAAAACTGCTATCACTTTGGCAGACAAAGCAGCTGCATAAAAGCCAAACTGGATTTGTGGGGCCGGCGCGTGAACAGAGGCGCTTTAGACATATTTCAAACATTAGCGTGCATTTAGGCGAGACTGACCCTGAGCATTCCCCCGCACAGTTAATGTACGATCACCTGTCTGCTTTCAAAAGAGTTCGAGCGCTAATTCCCAACCACAAAAGACCCGCGACCCATTGGTTAACAAGCCAGGCGAAGCATGTATGTGCAAGAAGATCAACGGTTGGAGACTGCAAATGACCGCGGCCTCAAAACTACCTTTGAGACAACAACAACTGCCGGTGTTCTGGATTAAAGTCACGGCGGATTAACCTCGGATTGCCACCACAGCACTTAAATCCCTATTGCCATTTCCAACATCCTATCTGTGTAGGTGGGATTTTCTGCAGTGACAGCAACCAAAACAAAACAACAGAACAAATTGGAGATAAGCAACACACTTCGGGTTCATTGTCTCCTACTACCCCCAGATGGAACAGTCTGGCTGCACAGAAACAAGCTCAGGGTTCTCATTCATTTAGCGTTTATGTTAAATCACTTTATACTCATTTATTAGTGTAGCTGGATTTTATATTTAAGGCATGTTTAAATTCAGTTACATTAAAGTCATCACATAAAAACAATCTAAAATATAAGCAAGCAACGCACCCCCCCCTCAGAGGACCGCAGTAATCATCATCATAATCATCATAAACGTTAGGCAGTGGGGAACACCTCAGCTACTGTGCCGCAATACATAGAAAAAAGCAGGAAAAAAAGAATTCAACTGGGGCAAGCCGGCTGAGCTACCGGTAACGGATGGGCATCGTTCCGGTAAGCTACCAGCCGGCTACTGTGCATCAAAAAATACTATGCGAAATGATATAAAGCTAAATAATGAGATCGTGGTTGGAGGGGGAGGCTAAGAGGGATGGGGTGGGACAAAGAAATTCACAACACGAACGCCACTGAGGTCGGCTCCTAGCCATGTCAGCAAGTGTGTCCAACCAAACGTGTTCATCGCCTTTCGGACCCCCAACCAGGGAGCCGAGACGCTCCAACCGAGACCAGCTCAGAAGTGAGGGCCTTCATTCCTCTGGACAAAGTCATCGCTTGGCCACCCCTCCTCTTCTTCCATCCACACCACCCGGCCCGCAAACAACGCACGTCGCGGGAGTCGGTGGGCTGGCAGGCATAACACGTCGCCGAGCCATCAAAGCCTGGTGCGTGAAATAACGGTGCTGAGTGGTTCATTTCCTTTTCCTGCGCCGTACCAAAGGCGTCGAACAGGCTCGTTGCTCACGCGGTGTTCCCACCAGATGTGAGCTAAATTGCGAAGACACCGGTTGTCATATGTAACTAGCCCCTTTATGTCGACTGATCTAAGGGGCCAGATTTCATAACCGTACAGTAGAGTCGAACATACGGCTGCATTGTACACTCTACCTTTTAGAAAGTGAGTGACGTTGCGCCGGAGCCACAGCCAGTTCTAATCTGTTCAGCGCGGCTTGGCACGTCTGGGAGCTGTCACAGATGAGAGCAATGTCGTCTGCATACTCCAAGTCGAGAAGTCGTTCTCCTGGGAGTAGCTCCACACCTTCCAAGTCATGTCCTGTAAATGCAATCTCCATGACTTCGTCAATAGCGAAGTTGGAAAGGATAGGTGACAGCGGGCATCCTTGTCTCACACCGCTGGAGATATTAAAGTGCGACGACACCTTGCCGTAAGCCCTCACTCTGCCCGAGCTACGCGCATACAATGCTCGGATAATATTCACATATTTCTCAGGTACACCTTTCCTGAGTAGACAGTCCCAAAGTGCATGTCAATCCACCGAATCGAATGCACGTTTGATATCAAGTAAGAGACCGCAGTAATATCTAACGTTGACCGGTATCGGCGATAAAAAGGTTGGGAACCACTGTTTTAGACAGAGGGAAACCACTTTCTGTCGCCAAACA